CAACAATGGACAATTTAGCGTTTATATTGTTTGCACGTATTGAGTTTTGAAATCGCCCACGCTCAAGAACACGCAGTGAAAATACCAAAGTCGAAGGGTGGTGGTCGTCGCGTCGCGTCCTGTTCGATATGGGACTCATAGCGACGTATACAACGCGTGTAAAATCCATTTTTTACATGAAATTTGAAGACGTGCTGCGTTCTTGAATCACCACAAGGGGCGCGCGCCTATCAGGCTCTTATGGAGGTGTTTTTATACACTGTTATTTACAGTGAGGCGACACGTGTCAGAATTATACACTCCCCTCAATTCTTACTTTTTGTGAAAGGTTTTCCACTCGATACGCGCCAACAGCATAATGGCTCGATGGCTTGCTGATTAGACGATATTATACTGACTCATTAATATTAATTAGAACTGGTGATTATGTCGTCATATCATTTCTTGATCGGTCAGTGGGAATTCTAGCAGACATTTTTGATTGATATAAAATATTTATAACACGTTTATAACATCCCAAATTTATGAAAACGGCGACAGCATACGGTAAGGTTTGAGGTATATATGCAGATATGTGGGCCTTTAGAGAAAAGAAGGTGTATACAAAACGTTAAAATGAAGCCAGGAATATAAAACAAACACATTTTCCTCAGAACATCTATATCCTAAAACTATTAATTGAATACACATTTTATTAAAACTTTATCATTGGCGTTTTTATCCATTTCTAGTGGAGTACCCTTCCTCTCATCGACAACAACCCGAATCACCACTTTTATTATCAAATATCTGTCTGCACCGGGATGGGTAAGGGATCCGGTACGAGGTCAAAGGTTTTCTTCTTGTTGTCAGGTGACTGTGGTGATACCAATGCAAGGCAGTTAGACGATGGCGATAGGAAGTTGTTTGATAGATCCAGTGATATTAACTTCCTCATGAGTTCAGAACAGTCACTTGGTCCATTGACGTATTTACGCGTATGGCATGACAACTCAGGCAAAGGATCCAACGCTTCCTGGTTTTTAGACAAGATAACCGTATTGGATTTGCAGACAGGAAAAAGGTAAATCATACCAAACCGTTCTTTTACTCATTCGGTATTTTTCACCGAGTTGACCAAATATTTCTTTGTGACATACAATTTATATCATTAGCTATATTTGAACATTGGGTTACGTCATTGGTATGCATTACCAGACAATAGGGTATCTTTATAATGCTTCCTAGTGGCTCTGAATCTGCATGGCAGGTGGACGTTAAATTCGGTAACGAAAAATCACCACGAATAATCCAAGCAACTATTCCAGTGTTGGTGTGAGTGGTGTGACGTAAAAATAAAAACTTACATAATATTACAAATGAACTAAAACAAAGCATTTCACAATTTAAACAATTTTTTGTGTTCGACTCGGTGCGACGTCTGTTGTGTTTCAGCGTGGAGTTAGACGCCTTTCATGTTCCAGGGCCTCAGCGTTCCACGCAATGCCAGCCGGTGCACTAATCGATATGTATTCAAACCAACACGTGATGATGGTAGTTAATAGTAACAATAATAATGATGGCGCTGCGGGTCGTTCGTTTCAGTTGTAGGTTGATTGTAACTTCGTTGTCTCTTAGTTTTAATTTTTGGTCCTGCATTTGTAATATGAATATGGAATTTCTACTCGTAATTTTTGTAATCTGTATTTAGTTAAATCATTTCAATAGTCATCATCCTTATATATGTAAATATAGTCTTGTTGAGGCTGTGAATAACATGACGTCATTAAAATGTATAACATGACGTCATTAAACTATATTACTAGTATTATACATCTGTCACCGTAACGCCATAAGTTACAGCGTGCCGTAATTTTGCGGTATTGCACTGGGTATTTTCACCCTACCATATTAGGTAATGCGAATTTCAAATATGGAACGATTACGCACGTAAGCGTCCTGTAATTATAAAGAAGTTCGCTCAATCTGTTTTGAACTATTTGTATTTCGGCATTCCTATGATGTATCCTTGGGAGGAAAAGATGTATAATAATAAGGTTATTACGAGGATATCGACAGTATGCACTCAGACAGCACACGGTCGCATCGATCGTCGCTGCGCGTCGGTCGATACTCCCGCTGTACTGTCTTCGTGCATACTTTTCGGTATCCTCGTAATAACCTCAATATTATAACTGATATATCCAGTAAGCATGCAGCAAGATTTTTATATAATTTGATACTCATTATTATAATACTTGTAGTAGTTTATCAAATATAATTTATATATATATTGTATATAATTATTTCTAAAACTTATAAATATGTCTTACTAAAACAATCGATTGCCTCTCCATATTAGGTATTTCTTTATTTGCGACCGTTGGTTGGCCGTAGAGGAGGGAGACGGCATGATAGATCGACTTCTACCTGTTTGTGGCAAAGACGAAGTTACAAACTTTCGATATCTCTTCACCTCATCAGCAAAGAAGGATCTTACTGACGGTCATCTGTGGTTCTCCGTCTTGTCACGACCATCTAAAAGTTCTTTTAGCCGGGTTCAACGTTTATCCTGTTGTTTGTCTCTTCTGTTTACAACAATGATTGCGAATTGTATGTGGTACAAGACTGAAGATAATTTACAACTCAGCGTAGGAATTACATTAGGTAATTGTCCGTAATTTGTGTGTATGCGTTCCTCATATCATTAATCATTCGCACACATGGGGATGGTATAGGATACATGATAAAATTAAAGATAGAGTAAATGGGGTGTCTCCAAATATATTTTTCTATGAATTCATTATTTCAATATGACATCCTGTAGTTATTTCCATGATTACGTAATTCCATTCAAGTCTTAAGGATTGAATTACTTGACAATGCATCACTTATTTATTTGTATAGGTCCATTTCATTTCACTTGGCATGAATTGTATGTTGGCGTCATGGGTGGATTGGTGGTATTTCCGGTCAATCTGATAATTGTACAAATTTTTCGAAGAAGTCGGAAAAAAACATACATTGTTAGTCGAAAAAGTCAAAAGAAAGTAACCTTTGTAGATAATAGTTACACAAAGATGGCCGACTCACCTCGTTCCATAGCCACATTATCCGATAAGATTTTCCCGGAAAACAACCCAGTCAGCGACAAGGACAGCGGAGTTGGTAGCTTGGCCAGCCTTAAAGGAGATGATGCCAATGGCTATAACCAAACTAAAGATCCATCAAAGTCTGAGAGGAAGAAGAAGTTTCATCTACCATACTGGTGCATATACATTGCCTGGATACTGGTGTTCCTGTCTGTTATTTCATCTGCATTCTTCACCGTGCTCTACAGTCTGGAATGGGGAAACGAGAAATCAGTCATGTGGCTGACATCGTTCATAGTGTCGTTTTTAGAGAGTATTCTGTTCCTGCAACCAGCTAAGGTTAGTGAATGTATGATCGTCTGTCCATCTGTCCATCCGTTTGTCTGTCCATCCGTTCTTTGCTAGAAGCATATTACTAACATATACCGCTTCTATTTGAAAGGTTATTTTAATGGCAGTGATTATTGCGATGATATTTAGAAAACCCGACCAAAGTGAAGACGATGATGTTCTCGAGGAAACTAACTACCAACCAAATCGAGTGAGTACTGACCAGCCATCGAGAGATACACTAAATGGTAGGTAACCACTTTCTAATCGACGAGTAACGTTGTGTGTGCGTGTTTTGATTTGTATATAGCACTCTGGTTGAACATATTCACGTTCATTGCTGTTACTTTGATGGCGCCATGTAGCTAATAGAAAATAATATATATTTATTTGGTGCAACATTGACAAAATAATGTCACCGCAAATGTTGGTAGAAAACTTATCTACCTGGAAGTGCTTTTGTTTGCATATTTTAATGTTTAATATTTTGAACGAATGTTTTCATGCTTTATTTAAAGCGATAAAATACCAACCACCGGACAGCTGCAAACTGGAGGCGGCCAGGGAACAGCGACTGAAAGAGCTGAAAATGTGGGAAATATCACGAGAAATCCTATTTTATTTCTTTTTTGTCATCATATTGCTTATCATCGCATATGGAAACCGTGATCTGAGATCGTACGATTTGCAGAACAATATTAGAAATCTTCTTTTCAAGGGACCAGACTTTGCTAATGTGAGTATCGTTAATGTTTCTTCGTTATCACATACTTCATTTGTCATGTGATCATGCGCATTCAGTGTAATTGGTTTTCGAAATCAGTATAAAGTTGCACCAACACATTCGCGGCAATTTATACAATATTTAAAAAGGTGATTTTACATGGACAACAACCGGATAAAAATACTTACATGAAAAATACACCGATGACAGAAGAAGAGTCTTTTAAGATCATACTAATTAAGTCAACAAGATCATCTTGCGTCCCATATATTCTCTGACAGTATACAATATTACTGCTCACAAGTTGTAATCTCAATACATAATAGAATAAAACACAGGTTACTGTTGTATGTGTGTATCAGTGATGCATTATAATATGTTATTAACTGATAAACTGATATATATATATATATATATATATATATATATATATATATATATATATATATATATATATATATATATATATATATATATATATATATATATATATATATATATATATATATATATA